CAGAAGAAGAAGAAGAAGAAGAAGAAGAAGAAGAAGAAGAAGAAGAAGAAGAAGAAGAAGAAGAAGAAGAAGAAGAAGAAGAAGAAGAAGAAGAAGAATATAGCGCACATTCCAGCTCAACAGCAAGCTCCTTGTGCTTTAAATCAATATCATTACCCCAGCAGACTTAGTAGCATTCTGAAACAGTCTCAACTTGCTGGAATGTGTGTAGTGCAAACAGCGGTTTTACAGGCCCTGAAACACTAGCATGCTTACGAGATCTTTGAAAAAGCAAATAATGAGCTTGGTTGATTGCCCAGGAACAATTTATGCCCCAATGCAAAAGCTCGCATGTAGTAAATTCACGGTCCTAAAAATGCGTTACTTTTAAAGTTCTATCTCTGCACAGTACCAAGTTTTGAGACATTTGACGTATACAACGTTGAGCTTCACAACATACAAAGCTTTTTCGAATGCAATGCTTTGAATATCTTGATAACGACTCAGAATTATCTTACAATTTTGATAGAGCAGATAAAACATTTTGTTTCTAACCCCATGGTTCTAGTAACTCAAAACGGCCAGAATATTGGGTAGGCAGAACTTTGTAATTCTAAAGTAGCGAAATTGCGACGTTCCCTTACTAGTGACTCTTCTAGTACGAAGATCTCTTTAAAACTTTCAGTATTTCTCCCAAAAAATCATTTTGACAGAGTGCTATGCAAAGCGTACTGATCAGATTAAAGAGTAAATGTCTTCGTTGGAAAATGGTGGCATAGAGTTCCCCACGTCGTATGGATACGATAGTAAGACACGACGTACGGATAGGGTTAAGTAAAGCTCGGGGAGCGGTGGAAAAGTGAGGATTTGGGGAGGGGGGAGGGGGGAGGGGGCATGAATAATATCCACTGTGCTTCAGCACGAAATGTAATACAATACACATTAGCAACCATGCTCCGATTTTCCACTTTCCTGATAAAAGTCATACTGTAAGACTGTTGCTGGCCTTTTTTTAAAATTCAAATTGACGCGGACCAAGTGGTGAATAGGGTTTTTTTCAAAGGCAATTAACTTGCCCCCGCCCCACCCCCCACCCCCCAC